ATTTGTGTTCTTTTGTTTTAACTAATGTATGGCCTAATATTTACGGTTGCGGTATGGATACAAATTTTGAAAAGGCTCAACACATTGCTGCAAAAGAGTTACTCTTTAATATTTGTATATTATTAAAATAAAAACATTTGTTTTCTTTTTATCATAGTGTTATTTAATAGGCTAAGCACAATATTTAAGCATACATTTTTGTGCTAACTCTTATGCCAATGCCTGATTTAATTTTGCTCAACACATTGCTGCAAAAGAGTTACTCTTTAATATTTGTTTATTATTAAAATAAAAACATTTGTTTTCTTTTTATCCTAGTGTTATTTAATAGGCTAAGCACAATTTAAGCATATATTTTTGTGCTAACTCTTACGCCAATGCCTGATTTAATTTATTTCAAATCTACTATACCAGACATGAACCTCGATATAAGGGATTATCTTACAGATAGTTTAGTTTTAAGGAAAAGAAAAGAAGTAGTGTTAAACACAGTAGCTAACTTCAATTTTCCGATTTTGTACAATATACTAGTTTAGCACAAGATACTACTTTCTTGGAGTATTTTTTATGAACCACAATTATTATAATAAACTTAATTTTAAATTAAACCAAAATGTATAGTCATATCAACATTTAGTTTATCTAAGTTCATAACTGTCAGCTATATTAATTTAACAAGTTATTTACAAACACAATACCTACTGTACCTAATCCACCATTTCCAGTAATACAGTTCATATAATATTACTGAATTTACTGGACTGGATGGACTATACTGAGGGATCATCACTTTGCCACCATATACCACCTTTTCAAATATTAAGTCCTTTGAATATGTAATATTACAAACATTGTAGATAGTATGTTAAATAAGTACCTAGGTGCTAAATAAAATATTTACATTTTACATCATATCTATTTCTAGTCTACTTTAATATCTATGAGGTAAGATGGATTAACTCATTTAATAAAACTACATACCTAGTACAGTAGTACACTAATACACTAATACTAAGAATATTTTGTTTATACAGTAGATTTTTATTATGTCAAACATCGATATCTTAATTATTTTTTTGTAATCTCAAACTCAATTGAAAGTAACCATTACGAGAGAGTAATAACTTTCAATATAATATATTTTAGCAATTTATTGAAGATGCTTGAAAACAATATTATTTTATACAATAATACAATTATTTTTAGGTTGACTTAGGTAATGATGTTATTTTTTTTCATATTAAAATAAATTTTAACAAACATGAGTATATTCAATATCACATTTTCTTTTATTATGTTTTAAGCAATAAGTTTATTTCTTATTAAAATATTAAATAAAGCAAAAAATATGACTTCTGTATTAATTAAGCATAGTATATTAAGTTACAAAAATAATGAAAAATGCTTGTTCATAAAATAAATAAATGTTAAGTAAAATGAACACGGTTTCAAAAATAAATGGTACAATAAAATAAACTTAAGTCTAAGATGTCTAGAATTAAACAGATATAAAATAGTGAAACACAAAAACAAAATAAAATTATACAACAAATTAATTTTAAACATTATAAATACATACATTATTTGCAGAAAATGCATACAAACACTTAAATATAAAAATATTGCTTATATAGTTGTATGGAACTTTTTTATTGTTTGATAGTATCTAATACCCTTATTATTATTATTTTTTTCATCAAGCTTAAATTCAATGGTTTATAAATACTATAGACCTAATATAAAGACATAAATTGAGTGTTGACTATTGAGAGAGCAATTTGGGGGACAAAATTGTTCAAAAAAGATAGATTATAACTTAATACATCTATACTTATTAGTTATTAACAGTGGGCAAGAAAGAAAAGTTTAACGAAGATACCTAACAATATTTTTAGAAAAGATAACATCCATCAGTAGTTCTTAACCTTTTGTGATCCCTGTAAAAATAATCTTTGAAGCCACACTCCTGAATTTATGACAAAAAAAAATGTTTTTCAATAATTCCATTTTTCACATTTTTTTTATAACATTTGCAAGTTTCTTTTTTCATTACAAAATATCTATAATAATTTAATAAAAATAATAGTGAGATTTATTATCTGCGTTTATTGTGTGTGTTTGTTTGACCAGAAAGTTATTAGTGAAGATAACACCCCCCCCCCCACCCAAAAGCGCCAATAACTAATGTTAAGAAGTGCTGGCATACATCATTGGAACCACCATAATATGTACAGGTGTCAGGTATTTGCTATCTCTTTTGAACAATATTGGTATTAGGGAACCTATGGCATTCTATAGGAAAAGCACAGTCCATATGTTAATCATTAGTACAGAGCACCCACAATAGATAATAAGTAGTTTCAAAATATAAATTGAACTGCATTGAAAAATTAAATTAATTTTAGTTTTCTTTTTAAACCATAAGTTCATACTAATAAAAATGTATATTATTATATTAAAATGGTTAGTATCATTATACTGTATGTAAATTTTTCAAAATGTAAAACAATGTTAGTTAATTTACATAGTTAAAAAAATAAAAGAAATAGGTAAATTTTTGACAATACATAAATTATAGTTTAAAGGATAAAAACAAAATACAACTTAAAAAAAAATTCAAACAAAAGCGTAAAACCAAATGCAAACACAACAAAATTATGTATACTTTAAGTTTTTCTTCAATTTTAATTTTAAAAACTGAATTCTTAAAAACTACATACTATTTTTATATTTATTATATATTTTAATGACTAGTCTACTGAATTAGTCCATTACCAACAACCTCAAAATAAAAGCAACAATAAAGTAAATAATTCTTAAGGTTCCTTAACTATTATGATGGTCTAAGAATACATTAAAATTATCTTTACTATTGATAAGATTTTATTGACAATGAAATAAACTTAAATGTATGACAACAAAATATAATTTATGACATGGACATTTTTCAATTAAAACCAAAAAATTAAAAAAAATGTTCACACATAAAAATATGAATTTCATTTTGTAAGTATAATTAAATAAACTAAAAAATATATATAATATTATGGCACTATTAAGTTTTGTTCTGTGTATTATTATATAATTTCAACACATTAAAATAATAGGAATAGTTAATATAACAATTATACCTATTGGATAAATCATAAAAGTTAATAGTTTTAACAAAAGAGTTTGAATAGAACTTTTATTGTAGTTCACTATTATACTTCAGTCAGGTTATAAATAATAGTTATACCTATTTTATACAAGTCTGTTCAGTTAATTAAAAAAATAAATAATAATAAATGTGTATTGTGTATCATCTATTATAGCTATAATTATTAACAATTTTAAAATATATATTATATTTGTTATAATGTAATATAAAAATTATAAATTAAAGTAAAATAAGTAAAAATTAAATTATAAATACCATTACGGTTAGGGTGTTTATGATTCTGTATGTTTTATCTTAGGCTGTCCTATGCACGTATTATTGATAGAAATTTTTTATATGATAGTCTAGATTCAAATACCAACATTTTATTTTACTTATATTTGCATGTTATCCTAAATTTAGCATATAAATGCTTAATATTTTGGATTTTTTTTTTTCGTTTTCAATACAAAATATAAAGAAAAATAATGTAATTAACATTAAACTGAATCTGAGTTTTTAATATCTGTATTTTAAATAGATGATATAAAAGTTATCGCTTACTTATTGCAGTGGCGTCATTTGGGAAGGGTGGTAGAGTGGGAATTTTCCCCCTTATCATTGGAGGGCCACTGCCGGGCCGGATATGGGCTTGTTTTTTGACTTCATATAGTAGGTAATAGGTAATATATTTAGGTATCCCCTCTACATATTATATTGTATTAATTATTTAGTCATAGTTATATCTCAAAAAAATAAGTTATTTATGCCTATGATAGTAACCAGATAACCGTAATAGTAACTAGTAAGTATACAATTATGTAAGAAGGTTATTTGTATTGAGATAAAAATTCAATTGTAATGTAATTGTTAGTAACGTTTTTTCAGTTTTATTTAACATATTTAACAATAGTTTTATTAACAATTTTTCCCCCCTCTCATTGTCAGGAATACCACAATGATATTTGGAGATATACATGCACATACACACTACACATTCAAACATTTAAAACAGACTACTGTTGTTCAATGCAACTCTTTTAATTAAGACATTTATAAGTATTTATAATTGTAATTAATAATTATATACAATTTTTTAAAAACCTTCTTTAATTGTCATTAAATAATTAAAATATAAAAGTTATAAATGCATATTTTTCAATTTTTTCATGGAATATTTAGAATTTTTTTTCTGTCAATAAGTGCATACATATTTATTCATTTTTTAGTGCATAAACATCCTAACTCTAATTATTATACATATTCAAGTCTCAATAATCAATGTATCACATGAGTGCATAAAATTCACACAATTCACATGATATTATGGTAAGGCAAAGCTGGAAACGTTAGTACATTATTTAAACTAATTTAATTTTAGATAGCTGGGAAATAAACAATATTACAAAAGTTTTATAATTTAATTTAAATTTAAGAACTATTAAAGGAAGTTAAAGAGTTAGAAGTTGTTGGTACATTTAATTCTACATACTAAAATTTAACTTTAGTATTTGACCAGTCTTGATAAAAATGTTATGATTATTAATGAACCATTAATATTATAATTTAAGTATTATTAAGAGGACATTGATACACCATACACCATAAACTATAAATAACTTAAATGTTTGCATGAGTAAAAACACTACACAGACATGAAGAATAAAAATTTAAAAATATAAAACTATCAGTTTTAAATATGTGGTTGAGTGGCTTGTAGTATTTTATAATAAATAGTATCTAAATAATATTAAAACGTATACAAATTGAATTGTTTTACAAGATACCAGTTGGTTAGGCAGCTTGTATGGACCAGAACATTGTTTCGTAAAAATATGGGTAATCTGTAATAATTGAAAAATTAGAATCCTGGTAAATTGGCTCCTATAGGATCTTGCACATCTATTAGAGCATATGTAACACCAGCAACGCCTGCATAAATAAAAATGTTAACAATTTTATAGTACTATCTACCATATTATTTTGCTTAAATAATTGATTTTGAACACTAAAGGACAGTTGTAAAAATTATAACAATGGTGATAGTATCAGACAAAATATACAACAATAAATTAACTATTCTTTTTCGTAGTTATTATAAATGTCAATAAACTATATTATGCAGAGAAATCCATGAAAGAGATTAATATTATGAACAATGACTACAGTACTAATAGTTGCGTACCAAAATGTTTCAATTTGCGGGACATTTTCGAAATTTTTATTTATACTGTTGGCCGTATATACCGGTAATTTTGATAAGATATACACTTTTATTATTTTTAAAATGTATAAGGTATCTTGGAATTCTTAAAAGCTTATCAAAACAACATTTTTTATATTTATATTTATTTATAACAATAGAAATTTCTAATTGTATAAAACGGTCATGGGCCGGATGGAATACTTCCACGGGTTGTGCACGACTGGTTTATACTATGTAAATAGATTTGAATGAAGTCACTAGCTTAGTTCCTTTACTTTAGAAAGTTTCTAGTTCACCAAAAGTTTAAAATAAACTGTTTTTGACATAGATATAGGTGTGTTTAACAAGATTAAGTTAACCTTGTATATAAATCACTTAGCTAATAAAAAATAAAACGTTTTTTTTTAAAAATTTTTTAGTTTCATAGATATTTTTTTTAAAACAATTAAAATGGTTAAGAAATTTAATAAGTAACATTTTATATAAATATAAAAATACCTTCAAACATTGAATATGGGTTGTCAGGTATTCTATTTTGACGGTTGGTTGTTAAGCACCAGTCAACAAACCTTGCAGCTCGATACAAATATTTAGTTTTCTGTAAAAAATAATATTTATTAATGCTAATTAAGTTGAAATATAGATACATTTCATTCTATTGAACCAAATTCATTCAAAATATAACATCTAGTAAAATATAACTACATAGTTAGTTTTGTCAAAAATATAGCATTGGTAAATCATAAATAAACAACATGATTGTGGGCTGTAGAGCATATTATATCACGTCCTTTTAGAAGTACACTTAGTACATTCGTTGCCAGATAAATTGAGGAGGCGGCGTGATAAGGTAAAATCAGTGGTTCTCCGTATTTGAATATTATTACCAAAAATACATCAATAAACCAACAATTGACACAAAAATTATTTTACGATATTAATTTAAAATAAAATATTCTGATAATAATCTTTTATTTAAGAACAAAAAGTAGAAATTGTAAAATAATATAAATAATATAATAATAATAATAATAATAATAAATACAATTTTTGCACTGAGCCGGGTTTGAACTGGTGACTGAGCGCGTTATGGACAACTGTGTGACCTTTGGACCACACTGCCAGGGACTAGTTTGGGCTACACTTACTGAAAAGCGCAGCTGCCGTCTCAATTTATCTGGCAACGACTGTACAGTACAATGGTTGTAAGACCTACATATCGAATATATAATTTTTTTTCCTTTATTATTATATACATAATCTGTACCTCATGGGTACAATAAGAGTATTAGCCAAGATAAATAAAATACATGAATAAGCATGATAAAAGCAGCCACCCAATGATGACACTTAAAAGAATATATAATTATAAAATAATTATAACATAGAATAAACTAATTACAATTATAAGAGGTAGTAAATGTCCATTATAATTTTAGATTCAAACAATAATAAATTACTGTACAAAAATATGTCTTAAGTTAATATATCTTTAATATTTAATTAGTGATTTGACGTTAACTAAAAAACAATTAAGGTAAGGTAGCAGTATTAAGCTACCTAGCACTAACAAAACCCAAAAGTGACTATCAAGTTAAAAATTTAAAATATAATAAACTTTTTAACTCATTAATGCCCACTTTTGCTATTTAATATTTAAATATCTGTGTTCATGGGTGCCCCCGACTCCTAGGCCCCTATGGCCACCAAGTTTCATGTTTATACTGTGTTTATCATATCTATTTAAACTAAATAAAGTAAAAATAAAACTATGATTCATTGATATTTGTAATTTTACAATGTTACTATTAATGATAACCATGCATACATTATTATACACATACATGTATAACATATCTACACTTAGCTTAGAAGAATATAATTACAGTATTTTAATAAACTTACTCCAGTTAATTGGAACAATGACATAAAAGCATAAGAATTTCCACTAACGCCATGACACAGTCCATATCCTTTAGTCAATAAGCCACGTTTCCATACAATATCACCATATTGTACTGCTGCATTAAGGTACTTCTCATCTAGAAAAACCTTATTTGAAAACATAACTTATTATTCAAACTTTTATAATATTATAGTCTATCATAAGCCATCAGAAGAGCAGAACCATTTATAAGTAATTAAAGATTTTATAATTTACAAAAAATATACTTATATTATATTTTTATACTATAAAATCAATAGAAGTTTTTATAACTATAATATTAATAATATACTAATATGTGTATATTACACCTATACTCTGTTCCATCTAAGCGTGAAACGCTTTCGCGCACATAGACTGAGCCGCTGAACAATGCCTGATCCCCTCATGCGATGGCTATGCTTTCTGTGATTGGCGGATAGTCATTGTCGTGCGTCGGGCACCCGTGTTATAACTCTCACAGATTGTGGTGGGAATGCGCGGAACAAACTTGTTTTGGTCAGTCGGGGGGTTCACTCTTAGATGGAACAGAGTATAATTACTTATCAAATGAACTGCTAAAGCTAACAACTAGAATTAGGAATAGGATGTTTATGACTTCTTCATGTTTTTTTCTTTTAGTCATGCACATTTCAAATAGTTATACATTTGTTTTATACGGTGATGGAAAACGTTTTTAAAAAATGTTATTTAACAGAAAAAAAACAAAAACAATTAATAAAATGTAAACGAAAAACAACAATTAATAAAACAAAAACAAAAAACAACAAAAAATTCCCCAAAAACTGAAAAAAATTTAATAATGAAATCAAAAACGAAAACAAAAATAAATTATAGTATTATACATTATTATACTTATACCATGAAAAAAAAAAATTTACTTAAGTCTTTAATTAGTCTTAAGTTTTTAATCTTTACCAATAATGCAATTTTTAATTTTTATATAAATTATAATTTTGATTTAAAGTATACTATTATAAAAAAATAAAAACAATATTATCAAAAACGTTTTATGGAAACAATAGGAAAATAACGTTTTTAAAAACGTTAGGTAATCGAAAAAATGTAGAAAAATAACATTTTTAAAAACGTTAATCAAAACGTTTAAAAATGTTAAGAACAATATTTTTTAAATCAATGAACAAAAACGAAAACGAAAAAATTAAAAAAACATTTTCCATCCCTGGTTTTAAATGATATTATATATTTTTGCATACTTAGGGACTAAAAGGAATAAATACATATTATTATAAAAAAAAAAAACAGTAAATAAGCGCAAAGTTCTACGAACAAAAAATTAGAAATTTAATTTTTAATAGACAACAAACTACTAAATTTATAAATTTCAAAATGCTTCTGTAGATGATGAAAAATGTTGTTTAAAAATAGTTTGTTATCAAACAACTGATGCGAGTTCTTGTTTGAAAAACTAAATAGGTAAATATTCTCATTATTTAAATCAAATTAGAGAGTACCTATGTACATATAAACTAAAAATAATATTCAAATTGATTCAATCTACAGTTAAATGTGTTTTTTTTTAGAAATAAGTGAAAAATCAAAAGCAAGAGCTAGGATAATACAATAATTTTCAATATACCTATTTAATAATAAACTTAGGTATTTGATTATTTAAAGGCATATTTTAATATTTGTTGTGTATATTTAAGTGCATTTATTAAATTTTTAAAAAGTTTTTAAGGTTAATCCTAAAACCTACTATAATGACAAAAGCGTGTAGATTTATGGACTTGATGGTTATTCAAGTGATACTATTATTATTTTAATTCATTTTAAATTATACAGAGAACAGTTATGTTAAAAAGGGCTTAGCCTATTAAAATAATAATAAAATGAATGTATAATAGCATTATTGTTTATTATATTTACATCATATTATAAGGTAGTTTTTCGATAGATATTGTTCAAAGATAAACCATATTTAAAGAACTAAACATATTTTTGTTTTTATAAATGTCCAAAGAGAAGTTATACATTACTATGTAAACTTAGAACTACTTAAAAAAAATAACCACACTCACATCCAAAAAAAGAGAACATTTCATAAATTAATACCTATAAAAATAATACTATTTTTAGATTAGTAAATTTTATATATTGTGATCTGTTTGTTATTAATAAAATATAAATAATCATAAGCTAGAATAGGGTGATCCAATAATTAAGTTTTATAAAGTTCTGGACAACAATTTCCACCTTGACCTAACCAATACTTTACTTAAGGGGATGTTACAGTGACATTTGTTGTCTCCGTCTTACAAGTGCGTAACATAGCAAATTATACTCTCATCAAAACACGTTTATCTCCTGTTAGTTTAAAATTAGAGCGAATTGACCTCTTATAAAATTTAAAGGTAAGATTATTATCTAGACAATGACATAGGTTTTTTATTAATTTTAAAGCGGGTTATGAGTATTTTAAGATGCTTTATCACGATTAATAAAAAAATAAAAAGTGTAAATAAAAGACATATTGTATTTGTATACTTAGCCAACCCCCCATACAAAATTCCTGGCTACACTACTGTGTTGTAATATATATATTTAAACATTTCTTACTTTGTAAGCTAGTGCATAAGTGTGTGTGACACCCGAAGCACCATGACACCACTGAACTAAATGATCAGGATCATTACACAAAGAAACTGGTAAATTTCCAGATTTATACCTCAGTGTCAATAAGTAGTCAAGAGCTGGCTTAATAAGATCGTCCAGTTCACTTTTTGTTAGATAACTTTTTGCCTTAAAACATATAAAATAAAGTTTTAAAATTTTTAGAGACAAGGAACAATAAAAAAAAAAAAAAAAATGACGAACATACTTAATTTTATAATAACATGATAAAATGTAGGGAGTTTTGTAAAGTACTTAACTAACAGTATTTAAATACTTTTTAAGAACTCAAATACAGTTTTAATATTTTTGAAAAAAGTATTTTAATTACTTTCTCATAGTATCTATATTTAAAATCAAATACTTTTTCTTTTTAGTTTATACATTTTTTATTTTCAATTCAATACCGTAAAATAAAAAAATAGAAAAACTGAGAACATAATATAATAATAATTACCGTATATCAGATACAAACTTAAAGCTTAGTTGGTATACATATCAGCCATTATTAATGTAATTTACTGTACCTAATTATTTAATGGTAATTGATTTGGCTGAAATAAATTAATAAAATTAAAAATTAAATAATAAATTATATACGAATTTATACACAACCTTGACAAAAAAAAAAAAACAGATTGATATAAAAAAAAATCCAATTTGGCAAAAATTTGAAAGTATTTGAAAATAATAAAATATCCTTTTTTTAAGTATCTGTATTTGAACTCTGATAATTTTTTTAAGAGGACGCTACACCGATATGAGTTGCCTCCGTCTTACATGTGCATAATATGGCCAATTTACGAGTAGCAGATCAAGTTTAACTTAGTTAGTTTAAAAATTAGAGTGAATCAACCTATTCTGAAACTTGCTGGTAAGAGCATTATCTGTGTATGTGTATGTGTATGTTGTATGTGGCTTTTATACGATAGTTCATAATACTCTAATTTTAAACTGATAGAGCTAAACACATTCTCCTGAGCGTAAATTTGGTATGTAATGCACTTGTTAGACGAAGACAACTAATAGCTTTGCAGTATCCTCTTAAGGAGTTTTCAAATATGTATTCCAATGTTATTCAAAATAAGTATCTGTCATTGTACTTGAATAAATTTAAAAAATATTTTTTACAAGACTGTAAGTAGGTGTTTAATAAAAACATACTAGAAGAAGGCAATGTATAACACCCGATAAACCTTGAGCTGCCCCCAAGTATTTTTTGTTGTGACATTTGTACATGAGAGAAGTTCTTCTTGGTTTATCTCTATCACATGTCTGTATACCGTTGTTAAAAATTGATAGCACAACCTGTTTTATTCATACATTTTACTAGGTACAAGTAAATTACAAAATAAAAAAAAAAATAACATTTTTGATTTGTTACCTTACGTATCAGTTTATCTCTATCTGGGTCCTCCCATCCAAGTTTTTTAAGTATAAGTAAAGAGTATAGATATCCAGCTCGTCCATAAAGTAAAACATCGGGCATTTTTTGATTCAATGCTAATGGCAACAGATCCACAACTCTATTTATACCAAACAAAAAACAAAAAAATAAATATATTTAAACAATGTCAAATTATAAAATATGGTATATATCATGATAAATACTTTTCAATCATTTTTTTTGCATTTTTAATATCACCAAGATCTCGATAAATTTCAGTAGCTGTTACAAATATACCTGATTTCCCAGTTAAATATGTTACACTATCAGAGTTTTCATCTAATATTGACAAACATTTTTCGATGATCAGCTTAGCCTATAAATGTAATAAATATAATACACTTTAAACAAAGTCTTACAATATAAAAAATCTTGCCCCGGTAAGAAAAACTTATAATATAAATACCACAACAAACATTACTGATACAAGGCAATCATTTTATTAAATTCACCTTAGCAAAAGGTTGTCAGTTTTCTAAATTACAGGTAAATAGTGTAAACTTGTTACAAATATGATATATGTTTTGCATACTCACAAAAGCAGGTTTTAGTGCAACAGAAGTATTAAGTAAATAATAATATATTAGAGTTAATAACTTAGTCTATAAGTTTCTTTTACATTATTTTGAATGGTATCACATAACATACGCTACTGTAAACAAAGGCTATAATATCCAAATACATATTCTAATTTTATCAAATCTATGAACTTAATATAAATTAATTATATTAAATAACTTAAGTTCCAGATACCACTGAGGGAATTTAATAAAGAAAAAAATGAAGAATAGTTAATTACATAAAATACAAAATTTCAAAAATTATTTTAATATTATTCTTATCTTAGAAATATGTTTGTAAATAATATTTTACTCTCATTAAATCATAGTAATGTAGTAAATTAATTTAAAGAACATAGGTACCAAGTAATAACTTAAAACAATTATCAAATAGTATTATTTAACTGGCCAAACAAACCTCAATAGTTTTATTTTTGTTATGTGTTTTGTTAGCATAAAAATTGTATAGCAAGGCAATTCCAGCCATTCCAGAATATATAGACTCTACAGTAAGTTCATCTTCGTTAGGTTTGGGTTTTTTTAAAAACAATTGAACTTCTTGATCTATGATAAACATATGAGCTTCAACAAATTCATTGATTTTGTATTCAAATGTATTTGTAATTCTTAAACTTTCTACAACATACTGAAAAATAATATATTCACAATCAGTAAAATACCAAATAAATCAGTCCATAGGTTAATAATTAGGTACTAAAAAAATCCATGGATTGATTTTTTTTAATTAAAGTAAAAGTTTTTTGTATATTAAACTTATAAAATAAATTACACTATTTTACCATTATTAATAATTGATGGGTACCTTCTACCTACAGTATGAATATAAATTTAAATTTGTATTTCTAATTTTAAATTATCTACAATTGTAAAATGTTTAATTTATCTTATGATTATTTAATGTCACTTAAAAATAAAATGTATATAGGTATATTATGTGGTTTTTTTTTAACTGTTATTTTACAGCTCGAGGGACAAAGCCTAAAAGATACATTAAAACTAAATTTATTTTTGTTGTTAATTGCTCGATTATGGTAGGTAATTTATTTTACTATTAGTAATACACTAAGTTGAATTAATTATAGTATATATTTACATCATAAATTATTATTATTAATTTTCGAGTCAATCCCGACTTACCGTAAAACGGTGTAAATAGATTCATGAAAATATAAATAGGCAATAACTTAAAATTAATCTAAATATTGTTCAAATGCCACTGTGTATACAAAATTGAATAATACATACAGAAGTTTCAAACTTTCACGAATAATATTTTTGAATTCCAACAAAAAAACCAAAACCGTTATTCATCCTGTAATATCTGATTTTGTTCAAATTTAAACTTAAAATGTTTGGATATCAGAAAGTACTACTTATAAGGAACCTTGTATTACATTACAAAGGCATAGGTATGAAAATTAAACTTTTTTTTTGGATTTTGTTGAATTATAAACTTTAAATGTTTATAAAAATAATTTGCATTTGCATTTTCTCTACAATATGATAACCATTCTTAAATAAAATTAATTTTTTTGAGCTTTTTCTAGGCATAAGACATTTTAGGTTTTATTTAATTACATTGTCGATAAAAAAATATATCACTCAGTCAATAATTATGAAAATTTAATACAAGATTCCCCATATTAAGTTGATCTAAGTGTAATTTAAAAAATAAGCTGAGCGTAAATTCATAATAACTTTTATGATCCCCTGAAGTTAAAATATTGAAAAAATTCTTGAAAATCACGATATTTTAAGTTAATAATTCATAAAAATGTTACTATTTATATAATATTTGAAAATGTAATATAAGATTCCTTGTGTTTTATAACATTTAACAAAAAAAAAAAGTGTTGAAAAGTCAAATTTATTTTCTATGAACGTTTCAAGTAATATTTTTAAACTCTTTGATATTCACCCGTAAATTACCTATAACACTACTGCATTTTTTAATTTATTGTAATTCAAAAACAAATAACTGTAAATACTTGGCATTTTTAAAAAAAAAATGAATCTTTTTGAGTTGGTAATAGATATATTTCTTTTTGTATTTTTTTTTTTTTTTAAATGTTAATAAAATATTTTTTGATGGTTCAAAATGCTTGTAAATAGCTCGCTATCAATACAGGATTTTTTATTAGTTATAAAAGCAGTTGAAAACTTTTAAAGATACACTGACAAGATTATTTTTTTATGAGCATTTAAAGTTCAAATGTTGATAGAGTGCATTAAAATCTCAAAAACTAACAAATTATTTTGTTGTTAAAATTTATATGGCTTAGAATTGAAAACTTGAAACAAGATTTCACAAATTAAGTGGTACATATTAAATCCAAAAAATTTAAAAATATATTATATAAACATAGTTTTTTTATGGATATTTTAAATTCAAATTTCGACGAAATTAGATATTTGAACAAATAATAATGATTTTAGTTAGGTATATTGTTGTAGTTAAAACCTATTATTCGTGAGTATTTTAAACTTTCAAGTATATTAATATATTGTATACACACAATGACAAACAAAATACAAATTTTTTGAAAAAAACTAATTCAACCTGCTGTATTATTAATGTGCAATAGTGTAACAAACATTAAATTTATATTAACAATATTTATTTATTATATTATTATATTTTGTTATAAAAAATGATATTATTTTAATTGCATTTTACTTTTTTTTGGTTATAGGTTTTAGGTGATTATTTGCTCTAGTTATAAGGGAGTTACCCGTTTCAACAAAAAACGAAAAAGGTACGATTCCTGTTTCCAGCAAAAGACATTTCCGCCAAAAAAAGTTTGGTAACCATTGGTTTAAATTTTTAAGCAACATATGTTGTGGTATGTATAAAATATAGTAATATAACATGTAGGTAAAAGCAATGACATTTGTAAATAATTGTGAAGATCATAGATATTACAGTTTAGACAATTTTACCTATAAATTAAAATACTTATAAGTTATATTATGATATATTTTAATATTTACCTACACACAATATTATCAATATGTTCTAAAAAATTTAATAATCCAAAAAAAAAGTAGCGAGTAGGTAATTTAATAAAAATTACTGCAAAAAAGTAACTTAAATTACATATAAGTTACTTACAATAAAATGTAATTAAATTTCCATCAAATTACTTAAAAAGTAATTTCGTTACAGTAACTTGTAACTTAAGTTAAGTTACTCCCCAACACTGCTTATGTTATAATAATTATTATTTTTTGTGACATTTTTAATTATTAAAAATAACGATACGTGTTTTTTAATAACTCTATTGAGACTATATTTGACCTATACTTGTATTATAATTTGAAATAGTTAAATATAAATAATATATTATAATATGCAGTTACATAATTTTTAAATACTCTAACTTAAATGTGCCTATATTCAACTAATGTATTATTATTATCTACTTGTGTTTTAATTTATAATAATAAGAATATATTGTACATGGTTCCCAAATAATTGACGGAAATGTCTTTTCAAAAAAATAAATATTGGCGGAAATGGGAATCTTACCTTTTTTTGTTTTTGGCGGAAAAGGGCTATGGTTAAATCAGGGAACCGTTTTTTTGGGCGGAAACGGGCCATGCCTAGTTATCATGCACACCTATTAAGAAACACTAGGCTCCAGTGGTGTGGAGAACAGGGTATTATAACACCTAAGCACTAGACACCTATATGCTCCAAGGAAATATATATATATTTTTTTTTGATGCATAATGGTTAGGAATAACTTAAAATTTAATAAAAAATTTACAGTCGACTATTAAATATATCAAAGTATTATGAGTACTGGTATATGGTACTGGAATAGGTACTGAAATATACACCGTGCATTATAGCTTATACATTTTCACCACTGCTAGAACGGCGCTAGATTATAGGATTTATGCAATAAGAATATAGGACATGATGCATAGAAAAAATTTAAGTATATTCAATTTAGACAGTAATTTTTAACTATTAAAAACAAATGTGGCCATACTAGCATACTTATATTGGTATGAGGATAACCTCATATTATAGTCATATCCACCTGTAACATTTTAATTGATATAAAAATTAACTTTTTTAACTTATTTTTTGATATGGAAGTATAAAAATTTTTGAGAAAAGTAATAACTAACTAGGTATACTTTCAGTTTCAACACACATTTTAGATTCTGAAATAAAACGATGAATGTATGGATTTTATAATGAAGTGTTTTTTTTATTTTTTGTGACTGTCATCACCTTTGGGGAAACTGAAACTGCTTCGATTTCCTTCAACAGTATTTTGTGTGAATCTTGAAAGTGAATCTAGTTTATTTTTCTATGAATGTCAATAAAATTTTATTTGTAGGGTAAAAAAGCTTAGGGCTCCTATTATATTCTTAACAATATTTGAAAAATATTAAAAATCCAGTCACAATTTTTTTTATAAACATTTAAAGTACAAATCTTGACAAAATACAGAAAAATCAAGAAATGGAGCAAATTATTTTGAGTTAAGATTTATGAATTCATAAAAGTTTTTCTTTTTAAATCCAAGATTTCAAAATGTATTACAAGTTCCTCATAAGTTTGTCTACCTTAATCAAAAAAAAAATTGTCTAAAAGAAAGTCAAATTAAATTTTTATGAGAGTTTGAAGTTCATATTTTTCAGCAATGGATATTCACTCGATTTCTTATGATGTAGTGATTTTCTTATTTTGTTGTATAATTTTAGTGTCAAAAACGAATGACAGAATATACATGAAATTTACATCATATTATTATGTTTATTTTATCAATTAACATAGGTACTTGATACAATTTTCAAACATATTGACTCTTTTTGAGCTGTTTGTGGACATTTTTAATTTTAAATTTTTTTAATTATTATTTCTATAATTGTCAATAAAATTTTATTTGTTGGGTAAAAAAGTTAAAAAATGTAATACAAGTCTCCTGATATATTGTTACTATATCAGTTGAAAAATATTACAAATACATAAGCACAATTTTGTTTTACAAGCATTTAAATTTCGAATTTTGACAAATTGTATCAAATTTAAATTAAAAAAATTATTTTGTAGTTAAAAATATATAAAATGTTCAACAATTTTAGCTAAGGATTGAAAATTTAAAACAAGGTTCCACGTAAACAGGTTGTATATAAATTACTTTATTCACAAAAATATTATCAAATATACTTATTTATATCTAAGGCTGACTGAATGTTTTCGCTCAGAATTGTTTTTCTTATACAATGATATAATATCATTGAATTTAAATTTAACTTAATCGATTACAGCGCCCCGCTTGTAACAGTACTGTACAGCAGAGCGACAAACACTTGCCCACCTTTTTTAATTTAATTTTTAGTAAAATGTTATGGTGAACATCCTTATTTAAGTCAAGTAATTTATTTTTATAAATATCAACATTTTTTTGGATTAAACTTATACAAAATGTAAACACTTTTTTCAAATAATTTTTTTTATATAACGTCAAGTAGGTAAGTGCCACTAATGGGTGGCTTCTTACTCAAGCAATCCATGTTTTTAACTCTTACCGTATACGCTTATTGCACAAAATGTATAGATTGTGTATGTGCTTTTGTAAAATACGAAAAAAAAAAAATTCATTTTCTGACATCAATAAAATAATAAACAATTTATTATTCATATAATATTTAGTATCGATTTTTCATTTTTCACTTCTTAGGACTTTCTGTTACATGATATAAACTTGTTTTAATAAATATAAAATAAATGATTTTATAAAAAAATATTTTTTTAATATTTATGTATGATCTGCTTGAACATTATATAAAATAATATTTTTAGTTGACTGGGATTTTTTATCTATGTTTTTTACATTGAGTTAATTTGTTACACGGACTAAATTAAAATGCATTGAATAATAATGTACTCATGCCTTTTAGATGCCCACATATTATATAAAAATGCTTAATGAAGCCAATATGCATCATCCGCAGCAAACGCGTTAATCCGTAAGTGGTATGGTTAACAAAAATTAAGCTAATGGTATGGTGCGGTCTCCTTGACAACTTAGTTTTGTTAATTATATTAAGACCATATTTTTCAATTGTTCCATCACATTATTTGTAGAAATAATATATTTACAGTACCAACATTTGACTATTTTTCGACTCAAATTTTATAATTTTAAAGAAATTAATTAATTTTTAGACATAAGAAGTAAACCAAAACAAAAAACCGCAGCAGTCTATGGGATCAGACCATACCACTTACGGGTTAATGCCTACCCAATTTCTAAAGTAGGTAATTATTACAATTTTAATTTTTGTTTTAGATAATATAACAGATTTTCTTCAAATTGAAAAAAAAATGTTGATATTAGATTGATACAAAATTAGTATTAAACACACAGTTAACCTACTTACATATATTTTAAGTGATCTTCCCACTACTTCATTCGCTTTCTCATCAGATAGTAAACTCAGTTCATTTTTGTAGTTTCTGCAGGGCTCAAGGTTCTGCTGATTGGGTTTCTTCTTGTCCACCATCATACATTTATTGTAAACTACTCCACTAAAATGTATAAATTAAAAACATTTGTGTAAGCAAATAAGAAGAATATTTGAAAATTATATAACTTTTAGTTAACTGAACGTTTTTTTTCAGACCCAGTGGCATTACAATCATAATATTTATACTCTTGCGAGTAATATCAATAGTCTTATTAATTGCAATTTGTACAATCATTCACCTGAATGTTTTAAAATACTGGTTAAACTGCAATTGGTATTTGATAAAAAAAATACATTTTTACTCAATATTGAATAATCAATTTAATAGTATAGAGTACAGTACAGTATTTGGAATACTTATTTTCCTATGTAGGTATCTGGTATACTCTAATATATTAAAAATTATTACTTATTAATTATATTAATTTGAATATAATTTTTAACTAATAGATAGGTGTGTATTATCGAGATTATAATAATGTTCATCTATAAACATAGAATTGAAAAAAATAATATTTTTGCTATTGAAATCTAAATCTACTAAAAAAAAAGTATTCGAAAAATAATTGGAATACTTTTTGTGAAGTATTCCAAATACTTAGGAATATTATTATCATAAAGTATTCAAATACATATTCTAAATACTTTTTTTTAAGTATTCGGAAAATGTATTTGAAATACTTTTAAAAAGTATTTTACCCAAGTCTGCGGCCATTGATTATATAATAAGGAATAAAATAATTTATGATCGATAAAATTATAAAATTTAAATTAGTTTTATTTAGGTATGAGAGATGGCTTAATATTTGAGTTATAATTTATTGAACTATATAAAACTATTAACAATACATCTATACATATTATATAGACATAATTAAGAATAAAAAATAAAGAGATGAATAAAACAAAAATCATTTGTATAGGTAGATAATGTACATTATATACAAAGTTATATTTCAATATAGTGAATGTAAGGCTGTTACCAATTACGGTTTCATAAGTAAAATACTATTAAAAGAAGAAGTAGGTAGTTAGTATATTCCTAGTATATTGCACACGATCGACACACCACAAATCAATAGGGTTTGAATTTGAATGGCAAATGCCTTTTTATTTGAATAAGTAATAATAAAAAAATAATTTTTAAATTAAAATGTGTTTCCATTCATTTCTAAGATAATGGGTGAAATGTTTGCTTTTGAACCAATAAATGTTTTTTTTGCTTTTTTGATCTTTTTTAATTTGGATGTGTTTAAATATTAATTGACCTGATAGTTTTCTATACGTATCAACAGAATAAATCGATAAGAGCTTGTGAAGACAACGCATTGTTGATACTATGTTCATAATTAGTTGTAATGGGATTTAATATCGTCGATATCAATAAAGTATTTATTGAGGCAAGTTAATATATTGTTTTTGTAGGTACATGGTAGTTATTTTTTTTTTTGTTAATACTAACTAGGTAGTTAAATCAACTGAAATGTATTTAATTGTTTAGTACATTTAAATAGTAATTGCTTGATTATATAAATTAAATGCTTTTTTTTGGTATTTTTTCACATTTGAAATGGTTTTTTTATTGACTGTAATGCCTTCAAATCCGAACCCTACTAATCACCCACGAATGTAGGTACCTATAGCCGCATAGGTAGTATGCGTTTATTTTCTGATTTCATACCCGACAAGTACTACCTAAACGAAGCGGTGGAGGTCGCGATTCAGTCTTCTTCACTCTTCAGTCTTCAGTGACTATACACAAATATAAAATGTATTACAACCTACGATGATGCATTGTTTACCTACTGTTGTATAGTAATGTAAGAATGAAAAAAAAATGAATAGATTAGATAGCCGGTTTCGGAAGTCGTCGTGATCGTAGTGGGAATCGTGGAGGCAGCGGCCGGCGAGCGCTGTTGTCCGGCGGTAGGCGGGACACGGGTGGAAGGTACGAAAAAATTGAATAATATTATGAATAATCGCCCATTACCGTGTTGCGAAATCGATACGATAGTACGGTACCAACAATCGTGACTACGGCCGAATATCGATAACGTCAACGCAATAACACATCGGAGACGTATCGTAAAATTGCGTTTCACAATTCACAGTGACACAGTCACAACTCACAACAGATAACGAGGAACTACGGGCCCGCCGTTCTATCGTTATTAGTTTTGACTTTTGTTGGCTGTCTGGGCACCGCGGATATAAAATAATATTAATAATAAACTCAATAATAGGTAATTAGTACCTATAAAAAATAATTAATAAGCTATATCCGTGCCTGGACAACCACCACCGCCGCCGTCCACTGATCACCGACGTCCAGTAGTCGAGACTCCCGAGCCGTTCGCACTTTTGCAGTGGCCGTCTTCGTCGGTAAGTCTGAATAATAATAATAATTGTCTCTTAACGCGTTTTTAGATCGTCTCACGACGGTGCAAAATGCGTTCACCCCGTCGTAGTAAGTCGTTATTTTGGCCCAGATAACGACTTTTAATGGCCGTCCGGTAACCGCCTTCAAACGCGGTATTATCAGGGCTCTGACGGAAAAATAAAACTTTCTGATAGTTTTCTATTTTGTATTCTGAGAAATAAATGTTGGTACATCTACAATAATTATAGAGTGGCCGAGGAGCTGATCTGACTGGTTATTATTGCTGAGTTGAAGGATCGTCTGATAATGGGTCATCCTCAATACGCTCATAGTACAAGTTACAATATTATCATCTCTTTTGGGGTCATCCTACACAGTTGTTAATTTACTACAATTACCTATATTGTAATTTATTATTAATGACTTGTATGATTGAATATTTGAATAATGTTCATAACAAATTCTGATGCAATAGCGTTGGTTGCATTTCGAGATCATTTTTTTTATCTCTATCTAATTTCTTTGTTCATCTCTGCTATATGATATTATTACCTACAATTGCTTACTGTAGCCGCAAATGATCGTTACTGCGAATACAATTTGTTGAACCAATATTATCTTTACACAAAATATTATCAGCACGACAACAACACTTTTAGGAATATTTAATTAGGTTGACACTAAATATTTTTGCTTGAAAAAAATTAAAAGTACCTAGGTATAGGTAATTGACATTTGGGATCTATTATAAATCTACTTAAATTATTGCAGTTTTATTTACATAAGTATAATGATATAATAAGTACATAATGTACTTAAACACGAGCATAAACATTATACATAGACAATATAAAATGTAAATGGTATTAATACTAAGATACTCATAAAGCAGTGATTCCCAACGTGGGCGCTACCGCCCCCTTGTGAGCATTTTTATTTTGAAGGGGGCATTCTTATGAGGGGGGGGGGTGCTAAAGGGGCTCTCATCTATTATTTAAATTGTTTTTGTTTATAACTGATTGTAATGAAATGTATAACTGCATACCTAGAATAAAAACTAATTTAAAATACCAAATGTAATCCACAGAATTATGTAGGTATAATATTTATAGTCACTTAATTAGTTAAATAACATCAAAGTAATTTGTTTAACGGTGTGAAATTTTTAAAATCTAAAACGGCCGTTGAGCAAAAAAAGGTTGGGAAACACTGCTCTAAAGCGTCGATTACACTGAGCGAAATTACTCGCTAATTGCTGGCGAATTAACTAAAGTCGCTCAATGTAATCGCTCTATCTGGCAAAATCGCTAGTGTGCAAGCAAGTAGTGATTTGTAGCGAGCGAGTGAATTTAATCTCTAAATGTAATTGGACAGGTCGTTACACGCTCATACACTCGCGACTTTGTTTGCCAACGGCTAGTGAGTAAATTCGCTCAGTGTAATCGATGCTTAACTGTTGTGTTCCAATTTTTACTTTTGATATAAGAATTTTTTTCATGAGCTTGCTGTAGTGACAAATTATATATTATTTTTTCTGATAGTTGATAAATGATTTTTGAGTCACCATTTTTTTTTTAACAACCATTTAAAAAACTTATCACATTTTATCTCCATTCAGCTCTAACATTCAAACCAGTAACCACTATTGCTGATCTATAAATAATGGCAGGCAAAAAAAATGCATCATGCCAGTGTCTATACATTGGCTCCTGAGAAAACATTTTCATGTACGGAAATACTCAAAACCTACCTAATAAAATTACTATGACTGAAAGAACTTTTAGTATTTGTGACTTATTATTTTTGCCAAATTAACTACATTTCTTAGAACCATCTCAATAGATTAATAATGTTGACCATCTAGGAAGAAGTATTTATTAATCCTAAAGAAGTTTGTAATGCCATGGCTCAAAAAACAAGAAAAATTAATATTATGCTACTCTGATTGTTAATTTTTTTGAATATTAGAAATTGTAAAATTAATATTTATTGATGCTTAATATATCCTAATGTTATTTTGGCAAGATGACCACCATATGGTCGGTCAACTGCAATCAGTTTTTCTGTCATCTATTAAAAAATATTGAGAGTGCCATTGAGAATTTCTATTATATTTTTATAATTAGGTACCTACCTACTACTAACTTTCTTTGAATGTACAGAGTGCACATATTTTATTATTTTATTTAAAATGTCTAACAAATGAATATGATATAAAAATGTATGACTTACCTAACCCAATCTTTATAAATGTATTAAATTGTATCTAATTTTTATTTTATTTTTCACAGGTTTGTTTTTATTGAAACATAAAAGTTACCATTCATCATGTCAACTCCTGCCAGACGTAGACTGATGCGAGACTTTAAAAAATTACAAGAAGATCCACCTGCAGGTATCAGTGGCACACCCACTGATAACAATATCATGCTGTGGAAAGCTGTGATATTTGGACCACATGATACTCCATTTGAAGATGGCACATTTAAATTGACAATAGAATTTACTGAAGAATATCCTAACAAGCCGCCAACAGTTAGATTTGTTTCAAAAATGTTTCATCCAAATGTCTATGCAGATGGAGGCATTTGTCTTGATATATTACAGAATCGCTGGAGTCCTACTTATGATGTAGCTGCTATTTTAACATCCATTCAATCGCTTCTTAGTGATCCTAATCCTAATTCACCAGCTAATTCTATGGCTGCCCAATTATATAAGGAGAATCGCAGAGAGTATGAGAAACGAGTGAAGATGTGTGTGGAGCAAAGTTTTATTGATTAGAAAGCTAATTATTATTTTTAAACATAGATAAAAAAAAATTAGCTGTCTGTGTGTTACTAGTTCTTTTAAATTTTATGATTGAATTTTTACCACGGTTATCACTATTATTCCAGTGCATGAAAAGAATAATTTCATATGAAATTTTTTTTTTTCTTAAATGTATGTTTATTGAATTATTTTTTTAATGGTATATATTATTTAAATATATTGACACAAGTGAAATATAATTATTGTAACTGATTTAAATGTTTTGTAATGTTTAACTTTATAATCTTTGTTCATATTCCAAAAAAGTTTTTTTACTTCTATGTTATTTTACATTTTGAATTTATATATTTTTCCAATTTACTTTTATAAGTTAATAGTTAGCTTTATATCAAAATGTATTTATGTACTTTTTTTGCTTATATTATTGTAAAATGTATTATTATTAATTATTTTTTTTATCCATTATATAATTATTGAACACATGACCGAGTTAGATTCATTATATTCACTATCATGTAAACCAGTGGCGCCGAAGTTTTTAAAATGTGGTCGGGCAATTTTAAAACTTCCCGGCCTCAATATCTTAATTATTTAATATAGAGGTACCCTAATATAAATTTATTCATAATCACGGTTTAAATTTACTCATGCTTATAATAAAGTTATGATGTAAATTAAATATGTTTCAAAAAATAGGTCGGGCCACGGTCCGACGTCAGCATGGACTTCGGCGCCACTGATATAAACAATTTGAGTAGTTATTTAATTAAATTAATCAAATTATACTACAAAGAGTAAAAAATAATCAGAACTTGTTTTGTGGTACTACATACATTTTAATAATCAAATAAGTACTAGAGTTAATAAATTTAATATTAAAAATATACTGAAATAGCTCAATATATTATAATATTGTTTTTAAATATCTGAAAAGTTGTATTTTAATGAATATTTATATATTGTATAAGTTCTTTGTTAGAAGCTTATATTGTAAATAAACTTATTAACATAATGTATGGTTAAATATTCCAAATATAGAACATCGCAATGTACATGATAGCTTGTATTGTCATGTTAGAATCAAATACGCTAACTATTTACTCTGATTATGTATAATTAAATATTAGTTTAAAATATAAGACACATTCATAAATTGTGGGTTAATAACTATTAGTAGTTGTACTATTGTACCTATTTGTGTAATTTAGAGTACCTACACATTTTGTGGTATTAACTTAAAATTAAATTAATGTAAAAAATGTACAAACAGCTTTAATGCTATATTTTATAAGTAAAATTGTTCAAATTACTTTGTAGGAATATACGTACGTTTATATATATATAATATATGTACGTTTATATCTTGATTGGTTATAAAATATTTTTAAAATTGCTAATTTGTAATGATTAGTCTGTATTTTTATGCAAAAAAATTTGTAGAACATGCACAAATTTACATATACCGCATTGTAAAAAATGCATATTATGTTTATTTTATGGCTAAAAATAATTGGAATATGGTATAATTTTTTTAAGATGTAGTTACATGTTGTAATCTATTTTTAATTCTTTTTAATTAATTTAGTATTGTACCTACAATAAATATTAAGAAGATAATACATTTTCCATCCGGTCTGAATGAAATAGCTTGATCAAACATTAATCAAACTCAAAAGATTTTAATAATTCTATATTAATACAATTATGGTTATTATTTTATCATTGGGTGCTACTAAAATATTAAACTTTTATGAAATTGCCTAGAAATATGTAACTTATATTAATTTTTAATCAAATAAATCAATATATAGGTAGGTACTTACTATATAATATACATCAGTGCCGGCCTGCCACACCAGAGGCCCATAGGTCAGTTTTTTGAAATACAAAATTTACTTGACATTTTGGTGAATTTTTTTCCTTTAAAAATACATTTATTCAAATTTTAATTTTTATAATTTTTAAGTATACACAAAGTTATACCTATAACTCAAAAACTACTAGTTCGAATTTTGATTTAGATGCATCAAGGTTCTAAAAAGAAAATATCTGCTGAATAATAAAAGTAAAAAAAGAGGATTCCTATTTGAAAAACAGAAGTTTGTATTGTAACAACTAACAACATCATCCTTAAATGGTATAAAAAAGTATTCGAAAACCTTATATTTAAAAATTCTAAAAATTAGAATTTGCAAACTTATATACCTACATAATATGTACAATTTAAGTAAAAAAAATAGAGTGAGCATACTTAAAAAAACACTGTATAATATGAACGGAAAGCCTGACGAGGGTAATCATTTGTTTAATAATAAACTAATATTGATATTTTTGAAATATTTGAAACTGCGAAATAATAAATAATTATTATTAATTACACAGGAACGAAATTACGAAAAACAAAACTATGTTTATATTACCTATAGAATTTTAACTTTGAAGACAATTAATCCATAAGCTATAAGCATAATATCATTCAAGTAAACTTTCATAGGTAAATCGTAAATGTCCAATCTTCATTATTATTTTATTCTTCTTCTTCAGCTTACTGTATGGTAAAAATTCTTGGATTTTCTTCAACACTCAACAGTCCAATATTTTCTGATAAGAAAGTGAATGTAGTGGTAGGTACTTTGAGGGTTCAAAAGTAAAAATTCCAAATAGTTAAAATGTTATTTGTTGGGTAAAAAAGCTTGACGATTGAATACAAGGATCCTAATATATTGTTTCAAAGACATGAAAAATATTAAAAATCCATTGTAACAATTTTTTTATAAGCATTTAAGGGGCCTCGCCACTGTCATTATTTAAGGGGCAACATTTAGGCAATTTCTAATCTTGTCATTGCCGACCGGGATTTATGTGTTGGTTGTAAATGATTATTAGTGTGAGTAAAATTGCATCCTCTCACTCGTACGCGCATGCACATGTCAATAACTCGATAACCATATCAATTTCACTACACGAATTTTACAAAAACATAAATTTGTTTTGACAAAATTAAAGTTAGTTAACGTCGTTTGATTTTGATTCTGAAAAAATATTTGAATTCAGCAGAAGAATGTCTGTAGATCGTACCAAACCTTTTCCGTTTTTAATATAAATTTTAATTTTAACGATGATTCGAAAAAGTTGATATTTTTAAGTTTTCAATTACAATTCACAATAATATAAAATTTAATTTTTACAAAGTGCTTCGTAGGATCTATAGACAATTTTCTGGTGAGTTCAAATTTTTTTTCAGAATCAAAATCGGACAACGTTAACTAACTTTAATTTTGTCAATACTTTAGTTCTTTTCCGCTAAAATTGAATTCAGTAGCGAAGCTCCTTAAAGTTCAAATATTGACAGAATACGTAAAATTCACGAAAATGTGCAAGATTATTTTGAGCTGGAATTTTACTTTTTAAATCTATGACTTTAAAATATATTTAATAAAAGATTCCTCATAAGTTTGTCCAACTTTATCAAAAAAAAAAAAAAAAAATACCTACAAGAAATCCAAATTAAATTTTTATGAGCGATTTTACCACATTGGATATTCATTCGATTACTCATTTAGCGAAATGTTTATTTTATAAATTCCTATATAGTTGATAACGTTTTCAAAATATTTTTACTTGTTGTGAGCTGTTTACATACAATTTCAAATTTAAATTTTAGATTCTGAGTGAAACGACAAATATATGGATTTTACAATGATGTGTTTTTTTTTTTTAAAATTTTTTATTTTAGTGTCTGTCATTACGGTTTAGGGCAGTAAAACTGCTTCGATTTTCTTCAACAGTATCTTGTTCGATGGGAAAGTGAATCTATTTGGTGCATTCGGGAGGTCAAATTTTAAATTTAATAATAGTTTTCAAAAGCGACGTGAAAAACGATGTCAATAAAAACTTTATTTGTTGGGTAAACAGGCTTGAAAAATTAATACAAGGCTCCTACTATATTGTTATAATAGCAGTTGAAAAATATTAAAAATCCTTAGTCATAATTTTTTTTTTTTATAAGCATTTAAAGTTCAAATCTTGACAAAATACTGAAAAATCACGAAATTTAGCAAATTATTTTGAGTTGAGAATTCATAAAAATTTCCTGTAAGTTGAATTAATATTATTATAATATTATAATTTTTTATTCGTTTCTATGGTGATAAACAAAGCATTAGAAATTAAAATCCCATTTTTGTCAGTGGTTTTTCCTGTGGCATTAAATAACTAGGTATTGAGAAAATCCAAAAATGACCTCTAATAGATGACAATCTTGTTCCAATTTGCTAAAAGATAAGGTAGGTACTTTATGTTGCAATCGAAGCACTCCTTTTGGTAAAAATGTTATATACGGGATAAGAAAATAAATAAACACCATTGTAAAACCATTAGCTTCCTCACTCCGCTCAGAAACTAAAATTAAGAATTATAAGAATAAAAAAAGCATTGAATTAAATAGTATTCAATATAGTAAAAAAAGTATTTAAAATAAAATTCAAATACATAAACTGGCTACCTACACGAGGTGTAGGCATACCTATTTACTTGCAAATTTGATGACTGAATATGAGTTGTACCTTAAGGTACTTTGCAATTTTTCGATATAGCAACGTTAGTATCAAATGAGTTTGGATAAATAAAACACATTTGAAAAATTGTGCGCATAAAATAATAATATCCATATTGCGAAATCCTTACTCCTTAGGTATTACCTATGTTTAAAATAATAATAGTATTTTTATAGGATGCCTTAGGTATACTGTATAGGCATTAGTCCACTTTCTAATCGATAATATTTCTATAGGAATATAACATTTGCAGTAAATATACCTATAACCTACGTGTTATGATATAAATGGACGTTTTTTCATCACTTAAAATTTGTATCCTTTAAAAGGGACACTCATCTGCAATGTTTGTATCTACTAAGACGTCCATTATTTGGTCCCATCTTTTAAAATAATATCAATAGATATAAATGGTTCTCAAGTAGGTATTGGGTTACATAAGGGTATTTGGCCTCT